TTGATCTAAAGGAATACAAGCATAGTTCACTATAAGACTGTACATGAAAATTAAATTTTAATATTTAATAAAAACAACAAAACAACAATAATAATAGTTCATAATAATTTTCAGATCACCCAGATAAAAATCCAAGCAGAAATGTTGATAGAAAAAACACCACTGACAACAATTCCTAAAAGTTAAAATAGTGAAATGGTTTTTGTAGACTGAAGTTTGTAGCTTTTATTAAGGCAGGTGGATACCTGGAAAAGTTAAGCTTTCAGACACACAAGCTCTTCTTCATGTCTGATACAGAAGCATCAGACTTTAAAGCTAAATCCAAGTTGAAAGCAGTTGCTCAGAGTTTAATTATAGAGCATTTTTCATAAAACACTGCAGTTCTTACCTCTAGGTAAGAACTAGGCTCTTCACAACTCCTGTACAAGATGAACTTTGAGTCTAAGATACAAAAGTCTTGGCTTTAGGAGAAATATTAGCTCTATGTCACATTATAGTTTCCATGCACATGCTTATCCCTTCATGTTTCACAGGTTATAAACTACCTATCACTCTTTCTTGTTACAACTTGCTTACCTTATCAACTCATCTTCCTCCCTCACCCTTCCACTCTACTTCACATGAGAAAATCACACAAGAAAGATCTGATATATGATCTAATGTACTAAAATAAGCAATCTTCCCAACTTCTCTTTTGGTCTGAATTCCTCTGTTCCGAGCATAAAAAGAGCTTGCATGCTCAAGAGATTGGCTGATTTTGATCTTGTGGAAAAAATATTGATGCATGCAACTCATTCTTATTATCATAGATCCTCATAGCTGGAGTTTCACCAGGGTTAGAATATTCCAAACTACCCCACAAAAATTCCTCTTGTCAGTTGCTCAAGGTAGAGATCTTCAGATCATAGGACAGCTTTCATTCTTGATGAAGGTGACTCACAAATGAAGGAAAAGCTCAAACAACTTCTAGGTTTTTTTCTGTGAACTAGGTGTTGAGATTAGACTTTGCCCTGCTGGAGTACAAAGCTGGAATTTCTAAGTCCTTTGATGTTTTTGTTTCAGCAAATTCACTATAGCCTGATACTCTAATAATCATGCTCTTGTTTTTTTAGCAGCAAGTGACATAACTTGAGGCCAGCTATAAATCAACTGGCATTGGTTTTATTCAAGAGACACCCAAATATTGTAACCAATTGATAAGGAAAAGAAAATTAAGCTATGTTATGAAATCATACTAAGTTTTTTTTGCATATCTTGTAGCGCTCAGAATATTATTCCTTTTTTTGGGAGATACAGTTTTGGATGACATTATTGTGAAAATTATAACTTCTGATTCACCTTAATATTTATAGTTAATTTATTTTTCTTTGCTGTCAATAGCAGAGTATTTAAGTAAAATAAATATCCATTTTGTAGATTTCTGCAAAACCTGTCATTATTTGTGCTTTAAAACAACAATTTTTCTGTCCCAGTATTGGATCATAAAGTCAATGAAAGCTTTGACCTATAGACAAACAGGGAAAAGAACTTCAACTGTTGTAGTTGATGAGAAGTTTTCCAGTGGTTCCTGTAAAGGTGAGAAAATTGTTTGAAAATATTTATGATAAATGGCTGTCTATTATCTTGGCTTTGAACAAAAAAAGAGATCGTGGGAGGTTACTGAAATATCTCTGCACCTCTACCCATATCTGTAGCTGCCACATTAATGTCTGTCCTAACTTTTCTTTTAGAAATCTGATGCTAATGAACGAAAGAATTAGAATCTGCACCTGAAGCTGTATTTCAAATAATGTTTTACAGTATTATAAGTAATCCTACTTCCATTTTTCAGTGTTAAAGCAGAAATTTTGTTCCTCTTTCTTCAAGGGAAATCGGTTTATGCTGGAAATTCTGTGTTAACTCGTGGGGGTTATCCTTTGCCATAAAAAATTATATTCCACATGGCACTTGATTCTATTCTATAGGTAATGATGGAAAGGATATTTATCTTCATCTTCATTTATAAGAGAAGATAGAGATAGTATTTGTGGGATCCACAAGCTTGTTAGATATTTTGAGGAAACTGAAGGCTATTTAGGCATGATAAAAATTAACAATGGAGATATTTGTCTTCAGTATCTCTTAAGTCCAAAGTGAAAACCTGGGGCTGAAAGAATTTTCCTTGTCTTGTCCCTTATCTATGTAGGCACAAGCAAAAAGACAATAACATTCATATCTATATGAAAACCTCATGGAAATAAATCTTTTTAATTGTATTCTGTTTCTTTGTATCAGGCTTAGGTTCCTGATATTTGCTTGCTTCTTTGTGATCTACTTATAATTAAAATATATATTCTTTTTGTTAATATTCTGTGTTGAAATTAGTCTAAGATGCATGTACCGTTTCTTTAGAAAATGCTGTAGTTCATCTTTTGAACATAAACTGTAATGCAATTATTAGAAGGTGTCTGATTAAAACTGGAAATTACTTCTGGGATGGAACTTCATATTTAACCATGTTTTTGCTTTAAAATAGGAGTACTTTCAAGAAAATTCCATACAACCAAACAAGCAAGTTTTACAGACAGGTGTTCTTCCATAGGTTTTGCAAACATGAACTCCAGCAAAAAACATTGCAATTATCTTGAGTAGATGATTAGATTAACAGAAGTTGGAAATTGTAAAATCATTCCTTCTGTGTCCATTTTTGTGCAAAAATGATTAATCCCATCTTGAGTTTGGGAATATTCAAATCATTTAATCATTAATAGGTATATAAAATCAATATTTGCTGTGTATTGAAAAAGGGATATTAAGGCACTATAGTTTCTTAGAAGAATTTGAGGTAAAACTTTCCTGATATGATTGTGATTGGGTTGCAGGTTTTGATTGCAAACTTTCCCTTGACTGTAGTTGTTTCCAGACTCACAGATGCTGTTATGGAGCTCTGACACTTTGAATGAAAATAATCCAAGTAATGCAAAATCTAAATGGTCTTTTTTAAGAGCTTTTTAAGGGGTCACAAAAGGCAAACTCTGTGAACATGGGCATGTTTTTTTCTCCTTGTATTAGTTCATTATCTGAAGTATGGTACTTTTAAAAAACATTCTGGAAATACCAGCAGTTAAGTTGAACACCACACAGTATTTGAAGGAAATCCATCCTGCATTTAAAATAAAAAATTGAATTTGGAAAGCATTTGTTTTTTTTATAAGGTATACATAAACAATTGCTTATGTTTTATATGTGTTTTGTATTGGGCCAAAGAAATCTTCTAGTCTTTTCTCAGATGCTATCTTTTCTGCATAAAATAAAAGTTATGTTGCCATTAACAAATATTTTGACAATTTTGCTCACTCTGTAATTTCTCTTCAACTTTTTCAGATTTTTACTCCCTAATTTCTCTTCATTTTGGTACAGTATGCATCATGAGAGTAGCCTAAGTTAAAGTTTCTGAGAATTAAAAATTTCTGCTTATATTGGACATATATGAAAACATTTGTTGATTTAACTCAAGTACTGAGTCAGATTTTTTTTCTCTCTCCTACTTAATTCCTAAATGGTACTCAGCTTCTTGTCTTCCCACAGGATGCCAGGCCAGAATGCAGATTTTACTCTTATTCAAGCATAGCAATCTACTTAACCTATGCACATCTAGGAACATATCCTCTCTAGAGAGGAGGCAGATGATAGCACTCTAGAAGTTTAATACACTAAATAATATTCTGATTCCTTTATGAAGTGTCTTTCATGATATTTTGGGCTGAGAAATTTGAAATATCCACTTTCTGTACTGAATTCCAGAGCTCCTAAAATTTTTTTCATTGCTTGGAATTGTGGAATTACTGAAGAGAAAGGGGAAATTACATTTCAGAGATCTATTTTTGTGATGGTGCTCCCTATGCTTAATTCTGAAATGATGCTGTTTACATACTGTTCCTTCCTTAAGCTTTTAAGTAATCTGATTTATGTTTAGCTGTGTTTGGCTGGCACAAGGCACAGTAACACCATTATAATACTGAAGTTCACATTTCAGCTTTGCTCTAAAATAAAAAGAGAGAAAAAAAGTAGCTTTTTGAGTATCATGAGGTATCATTTCAGAAGTTCACGTCAGTTGTGAAAGGGAATCAGAGTAATTTGGTGTAATTACTAGTCAAGATCAGATCTTAAATGCACAAAGATCTCTAAAAACAACCATTACTTGAACAGACTGTACAATTCAAAGTAGAAGGTTCTGTATGTCTTCATTTTGATAATTATAGACTGAAAAACTGAGCAAGGCAGGGACTTATGGATATTTGTAGATATTACTTAAATATTAAGTACTTTTCTTAGTTATAATAGTAATTATAGGCTGTATTGCATGCAAGTGTGAATGTCTGCTTGTATATGCTCTCTTAGAGATAATTCTTAAATCTTCATGAAAAATTACAGCAAGGAGCTGAACTAATGCATGCTCTGGTGAGGCTCTAAGAATGTAGCCCAAAAGAATATTTATTACTTTGTCTTTAAAGTAATTTGCTTTGAAACTGGTTTTTTATGCACCAAATTTATCTTTTTTTATTAAGTTAACACATGCATTAATTTTAATATTATGCAATTATTAATTTTAAGCATTATATGTTGTTTGTCTTCTCTAAAACCTTGTTTCAGTGTTGTTATTAAAGTGGAAAATGGTGATAGTCAAAACAGTTGACTAAAAAGAACTCAATTTATAAAAATATGATTTCTTAATATTTTGCATCTTGGTTTTATATGTTTTTATATTGTTTTTATTGTTCATTAAGCAGATATTTCTATTAACTTTACTTCAGTAAAAAAGCTATATTCCGCTGTTTGCATTTTGACACCAGCAGAGATATGGGGATTAGTTGCTCATCTCACTTTATGATAAATGCAGGTGTGTGCATGCTAGACTGAAATTACACTTGAAACTAATCACCCACAGAGCCATAAAACCCTGGCCTAAAAAGAGCTGTTGAGTCTGAAAGTGTTGTAATTTACTTCTATTTTATTTGCAGATTGCCTTCTCACAGCACAATACTATCATGGATCTGGTGCAGTTCTTTGTCACCTTCTTCAGGTAAATTGCTTTTTCTATCTTCTGACTGAAATCGTGATGATTCTTGACCATCGAACCTGTGTCTTAACCAGGCAGCTGCTGGAATCTTTCATGCATTTCATATTCAGTGGTTCAGTCTTCACACTTCATAAAGATTTTTGCTATATATCACAGTGATTAAGAGAAGTCAGCTAAACTCAAATAAGTCATTTATGTGTGTGATTCTTTTATAAACACTTTAAAAGAATTATTGAAAATGATGGCTCTATTATTTTTAATAAAGCACACCAAATCACTACTAATGCTTTCATGTGTTAGAGATTAATTGTGAAAGGCAGTAGGTGATGCCTGAGATTTGGTTGTGGCAGCAATGTAGGAATGGGCTTCAACTGCAAATGGACAACTATTCTGGGATCTGAACAAAACTCCTCTAAAAGACTTCTTGAAAGTTCCACTGTCTTATAAAATGTCACAAACTTGAATATACATGGATTAGTTACAGTGCTTTGAAATCTTGCTGTGAAGATATTCCCCAATAACCATGAAGTGTACACGAAGTATGAACAGTGACAAATACATTCATCAGACTTTCTGTATTTCTAGAACCGCCATGCCTTTATTTCACAAGTTCACAGTACACCTTTTCTGTTTACTTCAATCACTGTGCTCTGAGGAACTGTACCTGATGAATCAGACTCTTAAATACTGTGAACAGACCAGTCTGTTTATTGCTGTCACCAAAATGCAAACAGAAATGAGCAGAGCCTGAAGTTTTCTGTGCCAAATATATTGGCTAATGGAGAGGGGTTTAGTAGCTGATGTGAAATACCCCGTTTTTCCTCAATCACCGAAAACAGAGCAATAAAATGCTCATGCCTAAAGATCAGTCTAGTAGTGTTTGGGATTTTAAGTGTTTGGTTGTTGGGGTTTTTCGTGTTTTGGGGTTTTTCTTCTTTTTTTTCTGGGAGGCCATCAATATCTAAAAAATTATGCAAACCTTAAGATTATGAACTCATCTAGAAGAAAGCAAAGTCTGTCCAAGTATGAAAGAACAGAGGGACCCAATCACAAATAGCAGAGGTAGACTAAAAGCAGTTGTTTGTGCTCTATGCCCTAATGCATAGAGCATTACCTTAGAAAAGGTAAACTATAGGCTCTTTGATGGTGAAGCCATCTCTATGGATACAGTGCATTACCTATCCTGGTGTGATTGTCTGTCTCATGCGGCTTGTTCTGTGTAAATGCAAACTCATCATGATCCTGATGAAAGAAGAAATCTGTCTGCCTGAACAGTAAGCTAATTGGAAACCAAGGCAAATGTAATCCCCCTTAGAGAGAGAAAGACTGTAGGATAGCTGTCAGCTACCCTACCACTGTCTTTGGCTCAGCCTCAGTCTAATTACCTAACCAAGGCTTGCAGCTGGCACTCAGTTCAACAGGGCCTTGCAGTGTAACGTTAATAGTCCACCTTTGGAACCTAGTTGCAGAAATATGTAAAGGAATCAGGAAATGCTGTGAGTAGAGCATTGCAATGATCCAAGCAAGGTACAAACCTTAATGACAGGGAACCCTCCAAAAACATACAAATCAGGCTAAGGTTTCATGGTTATAATGAGAAATAGAGTGTTTGACAAAAAAAAAATATTTTAAAATATTGATGTAAGGTTGTATTGTACCCTTCTACATTTGAATTGGTATGAAGGTGTCTGTAGCGATAGGTAGGATGTCTAGGAACTGGAGCTCTCATACTGTGTTTCTAAGAAAAACATAGAGGCAAAAAGAATAGCACAATTTGCAAAGCAGGACCTGAGAGGGGAAGAGAAGGGAGAGGAGAATTTGAGTTGGTTCTGAATTAAATGACTGCATGAAGAAGTTATTAATTGTGTTGCATTCTCAAGATTAACTCAGGCCTATTGCTTGGCTAACTGGCTCTTTCCAAGACATGAGCCAGTACCTCCTGTGTATCTTTCTTTCAGTGTTATGCCCGTGGACATGGGGTTTTGACAGGTGTTAAAGTGCATTGATTCTCTTATCACAGAACCAAACCAATCATGGGTAATATCCCAGTGACATTCCCAATGCATAACAGCTGTGAGCATGGGATCCTCACTGACAGCAGAGCTAGCAGTCAGTCAGTCCATGTAGATGATCCAAAGAAGCAACTATTGTCACTGGACTATTAGTTGCAATGTGTTGTAAGTAAATGTAGGGAAAGTACTTAGTGTGCCCTTTACAGAAAACCAGAATGAAAAGTTTCCAGTCTAGACACCATTAAAACTTTCAGTAGCCATTAAATTGGATGTTATTTCTACAGGATCACCATTCTGAACAACCTGAAGAATATTTATAACTGCAAATCATAGCAATAACTGATTTATGTTTTTTTCATGCTAGTGGACAAAGTTGTACCCAAAGGACAAACCCGTGGGATTGTCTTTGCTCAGGGACCAGGGTGTACCTGGTGGGTAATGAGGGAAGATGGGGAGACTTGGTGTGTGCCTCAAGGAGATTTTACCTTGGGGGAAAGGTGATCTGTGTTTTGAGTTGTATGTTGCGGGAAGTAAAGTCGCAGGACAATGAAGAGCGAATTTTGCAAGGACCCCATGGGAGCAGGGGAAGGACTCCAACTCCTCTCCCTGAGCAGCTGCAGAAACAACAACTGACCATAACCCCCATTCCCCATCCCCCTGCACCACTGGGGGGGAGGAGGGAGAACATGGAAGGAAGGAGGGGTGGGGGGGAAGGTGTTTTTAAGACTGTTTTATTTCTCACTCTTTGGCTCTTATCCTGTTAGTAATAAATATAAGTACTATCCCCACTTTGAGTCTTGTTTTGCCTATGAAAGTAATCAGTCACTGACCTCTCCCAGCTCTTATCTCTACTCTTGAATCCTTGGCTGTTTTTTTTCTCTCTCCTCTGTCCAGTTGCAGAGGGAGAGTGAGAGAGCAGCTTTAGTGGGTACCTGGTATCTGGCCAGGGTCAACCCACTACATTTCCATATTAGTTGATAGTGTTTGAGCCCTTATCTGAAAATTTTGTTTCAAAGATTTGTAGTCTAAAAGAATTATTTTAATAAGAGTTTGTTTCTTTCTTTCTTTTTTTGTGTGTTTTTAGTTTTGTTTGTTTGTGGGAATTTGTTTTCCTTTGTTTATTGAGTAGGAATGTGGTGTATTATGACTGTGCCAAATTATGTTGGTAACAGTAATAACCCAGGTCATATTTACTAGGATTATTGATTGAGAAAATAATTGTGTTTAAAGATAATTTGGATGTGGTTGACAACAAAACGTATTTCAACATGCTTTGATAAACGTACGTTTGCATTTCTCCCCTCTAATATCGTATTTCTCATGTTTCTGAGGATGTGACATAATGCTATTCACCCTGGCTGCTTAACCAAAGCAGCAAATAGGTTAATTTGACAGGAACAGCTTTTCAATAACCATTCAAAAGTATAGTTTAAAACTGTGTGTTCCAAACTAAAAGAAGAAATGAACATTTTACTGCTTGAATCAGAGACATCAAAATAACAAGCATTTTTAGAACTGTCCTGATGTATCAAGATGAACTCTTTTAAAACTATTGTTCTGTAAGAACTTTATTTAAAACTATACATAACAGCAAAAACTCTATGATTAGCTCTGCAATTAATGCTTGGTCTACCAAGATACTGATATTCTATACCCTAGAACAAAAAAGTTATAGAAATAAAAGTTATTTTGAAAAAATAAGCAGAATATTTTTGAAGCTGTAGTTCTCCAGACCATGATATGAATAGTTAAAAACCCTACCTTATTTAATTTCATTATCTTTCTCCTGGAAGGTTTTATTGTGTCTACTGGTTCAATGACCTTTTCTCTAGAGTAAAAATGCAATCAGTTATGTAAGAGTAGGAACAGGTTACTAACTGTCTTACAGAAAGTTTGGCATCTGTGTTGCTTTACTCAGTGCCTTGAAGACTTTTAGCTGTCACACAAATGGAGAAGTGTCTGACTTTTTTTTCCACTTGCTTTGAAGAAGCACAGATCTCATTAGGAAATTTCACAGGCAGCAAATGTGAATGATTATTCTTCTTACACTGAAGAAATACAGTACCCACAGTTAAAGAAAGTCTGTTCCTGTATTACCCTGACCAGTAAAACACTTAATACGCTAAAGTTTGGAGCTTTTTTCCTTAAACTATAAGTGATAAAAACATTTTTAGTGTTTTCAAGCCTTACATGAATATATGGTTTTTATATAGTAGGTGCCAGAACACTTTTTGGCATTGCATAATTGTATAAGAAGTAGCTTTATTTTCTGAGAACATTATTTATTTTTTTTTTAGATCATGTTTTATCATGTATAAAAATTGACTGTTCAATAATTCTTAATTTTTATTATATATGATTTGAGTAAATCCAGAATTGAGAGCCAATAAACACTTGATTTCTTAATATGCTTTTAAATAAAATTTTAACAGTATGACAGAATTTATAATAATACTCATGCATTTCTTGGAAAATTGTTTGTATTAATAATCTTAAGCAGGAGTTTTGGTAAGAAATGTGTTTTTAGCTCATAATCAGAAACCAGGCAAGCATGAAATCAGTGCAGATAACAAAGGTTAGCTGTTAATATACTTGTGATAGGAAATTATATGCATCTGCTACTGTCATAACTACTTTTTTAAAGCCTGCTTCAAATACATGGTACCAACTACTAACCAATCAGCACTTTCTCTAAGCACACATCCTTATGCTCCCAGAACTATTCCTTCCGTTGTCTCTGGCACTTTGGGTGGAGCTGGCAACAGTGGATTTTATATCTGAATGGAGTACTATACTTTAGTCACTTTTATAACACATCTCCTTACTATTATGAATTAAAGAATTTTAAATTTTTAATAAGTAGAGCACTGTTAAATAGTTTGATAGTTTGTTTTCTGTGTGCTTTTAGAAATTCCATAAAAAATTATGGTCATTTAGGATCAGGAGTACATTCTTTCTGATAAATCTTTCTGTAAGCAGTATAAGTGAGAG